GACAGTGTGGAGAGGAGGAGGAGCAGAAAAAGGTTTCCGGAGAAAAAATAGTGGGAGAGGAGGAAGATGGGACAAAAAAGACAGACATCAGAATAGAGGTAGGGGAGGAATTGATGAAGACAACTGGAGAAACGCCACAAATAAAGAGAAAAGAAGTGGTCTCAAAAGAGCAAGAAAAAGCAAATGATGACAAAGAGAGAGGTGATGAGCTTAGAACACCACCAAGTGAACATAAACAACTAAACAAAGCCATGTCTGATGTGAAGAAACTGCAAGAAGGCAGGAAGTGTGAGGAAAGCAGACAAGGAGGAGTAGGAAGGAAGCTTGTCATCTCCAAACACCCAAAAGTTTACCAAGTGAAAGCGGTGCCGGTTGTGCCTCCCAAGCCTCAGCACTGCAAAATTACCGCCCTGACCCTCCGACAGCAGCAGCAGCAGAGAGACAGCGACAGGGAAAACGTGCTGAAAGTCCAGACAGAGCAGGACCAAATTTGCGCTGGAGAACAGGGGAGAAGCGAAGGGGAGAAGGAGAGGGAGAGGAGGAGGGACGAGGATGATGGTGCCATGAGGGACATGAGCGGAAGCAGTCCCCTCAGCATGTGCTTTGATGAGGCTGTTGCCATAGCAACCATAAGGCGAGAAAAAGAGAAGGAGCACGAAAAGGAGAGGCATTGGGGAGGTGAAGTACAGTGAAGAGGTTTGTTGTCTTAATAGCTTGTTGATTTAAACTGAGTTCTCCGTACAAGCTGTTTTTCTACATGTAGCATAAAAGGCTGTATTTTGCAGTGATTGACTTGTTTTAGTGTAACTTCCAACAGCAGTATTGTCTGTCTGATGCTACAAAAGATGTTTGGGCGGTTTTCTGTCAAATCTGATGTGCAGACAGGAAAGTAGTAATTTTTAATTCCTCTCTATTAGACAAATAGAGAGCTGACAGGAACATGAATGGAAAGAGATGCAACAAAAGTCCCCAGCTGGGCTCAAACCAGAGGCATTGCAATTACAGTACATGGCCATTGTTTTAGTCACAGGGACACCACATTAGAAAGGTCATAGCTAAATACGTAGCTGCAGCTGTGCTACCCGCTATTAAGTTAAATAAAGTCCCGAACCTGAGAGCAAAGACACTCTGTGGTGAGATTAAAGGTTAAGTGCTGCTGAAACATGTTGAAGATGAAATATTTGACATAGCATTTAGATAAACTATTGTTTGTTTTAAAATTGTATTTAGACACAAACTTTTATAGCTGTCACATTTTAGGTGTGCAAAACAAATCATCCCACTATTGGATAACTACATTTTGATCAAAAGTAAAACGATAAGCCTTAAATCCAGCTCACTTCTGTTTGCACTAGTTGTCTAATTATACAATACTTTGTAATTATATAAGGTGTATGTGTATATATACAGTATATGTATAAAGAAAATATTAAAGTATGTGGTTAACGTTGAAAGAAGAGGGAATTTATTGTCATTACATTTGGAGGTTATATGAATAAAAAGATGTTTCTAAAATTGTCTGCCCTTTATAATCATTAATATTATTTTGTCAACTCACTTTAACCTGCACGGACAGATATTAATTCTCTGTTCATGGGAATAAAATAAATGGCCTTTCAGCATCCATTGAGGCTCCAGACCATTGTGAATAGTGAGTACTTTAATTTTGATACTGAATTTCATGTGTAGTACTGCACTCAAGTCGAGGTTTAAATGCAGGACTTTAACGTTTTTATTTTATTGTATTTTATTTTAATGTCATGCTTTTCAAAAACTTAATAACAGGGTTTTTAGGTCAAGGTCAAGGTGTTTATTTGTCATATGCACAGTTAGGCATGACGTATTTCCTGGTAATAAACTCCTCAGTCTGATGGCAGAGGGAAGAACGAGTTTTTCAGTCTAGAGGTCCTGCATTTCACACTTCTGAACCTCCGGCCAGAGGGTAGGGAGGCAAACAGTCCGTGCTGGGGGGTGGGTGGGGTCTTTGAGGATGGAGGCAGCTTTCCCACGCACCTTGCGGTGGTAAATGCTCTGCAGAGAGGGCAGTGGAGTCCTGGTGATCTTCTCCACAGTCTTTACCACTCTCTGCAGGCGCTTGCGGTCCATAGCAGTAGTGCTGCCATACCAGACAGTGATGCAGCTGGTCAAGATGCTCTCAATGATGCAGCTGTAGAAGTTGCAAAGGATCCTAGGCGACATGCCAAACCTCCTCAGCCTCCTCAGGAAGTACAGCCGCCGTTGGGCCTTCTTGACCAGCTGTGTGGTGTTAAGTGTCCAAGTGAGGTCCTCACTGATGTGGACACCCAGGTATTTGAAGCTGCTCACACTCTCCACTTCGAGCCCCCGGATGAACAGTGGCCGATGAGTTCTCCTCTCCTTCCTCATGTCCACTATCACCTCCTTCGTCTTGTCCGTGCTGAGGCTGAGATTTTTGTCCTTGCACCATGACACCAGCCTGATGTCAAAGCCTGATATCAAAGTGTTTATTTGTCATATGCACAGTTAGGAAATGTGTTTCCCTGTACAATGAAATTCTTACTTTGCCATCCACATGAATTATGCATATGCAAACTGAGAATGTAAACAGTACAGGTCAATAGTACATGACGTATTTCCTGGTAATAAACTCCTCAGCTGTTTAGGAGTTTATAACAATGTCCTTTCCATGTCAAACAACACAAAAGGATCTTGGAAAAAAAAATTGTTTTTCAAAGAAGAAAATAATAAAACAAAGTTTTTTTTGTCACTGCAGTCCCAAAACAAATGAGCAATTGTATAGCCTATATATTGATACCTACAAAAAGCACATAAAGTGTAGTCCAGATCTTGTCTACACTGAAAAAATAAAATGTTTTCATATAGTTGTATGTACATTTCTAAATGACGCGTATTTTACCGTGTTTGTAAATAAATATCTTCTTTTTAAAAGCTAAACTCACAGAGCGGGATTTGTAATTCACGTTTATTAGAAGAGTTACGGCTGTCACCCCGACGTCACATCTCTCGTTTAATATCCCGGAAGCAAACCAAAATAAAGCAGATGGGAAAGTGCTTCCCTTCAGTCCAGAGCCCCCCAGCTGTGGAAACCTGACTTTGACTGAGTTGTTACTTTCAGTCGGAAGGATGTCTTTCCTCTCCACTTTTGGCACGCAGGTCGCAGCCATCATGGATGTGTTAGCGAAAGCTGCGGTCGCCGAAATAACGAAGCTGGTAGAGGACGGGACGCTGGTTCTGCGTCTGGAGTTGTGTCAGAGAGACGGTGAGATTCGGGAGCTTAGAAGAAGTTTGAAGCTGATGGAAGCTGAACTCAGCAAAGCTCAAGAAGCAGCCATAACGCGTATTACAGAGGACAGGCCAGAGGAAACATCAGCCGGGAGCCAGGTCTCCCCAAGAGGTGAGAAACACCCTAAGGTTGGTCCTACACCTGGATCTGGATAGAGCGTTCAAACCAAACGTCCTTTAAAGTATCTGAAATTCTGATTTAGCTTGTTTATACACTACCTTTTCTTGTTTTGTGAAAATAAGGCGAGGTCCCTAATAATTTTTGACTTCCTGTTAAATTCGGCTTTAAAATTATTTTTCATTTTATCTATGACAACGCAAAGAATTATATTTTAAATAACAATGTGGACAACATCAAGAAACCAAGCCATTTGGAAGCAGCAACCAGAAAATTGTTGTGACAAATTTAAATGATTAGGGGCTGATCTAGCCATTATTTTTATTACTGATGAATCTGCCAATCATTTTCTTTGATTAATGACATGTCAGAAAAAAACTAGGACTTCCTAAAGTCAGAGATGACATGTTTTTTTTTCTCTAACCAACAGTCTATTACGCAAAGATGCAGTTTTCTGTCAGACAAAGAAACTGTCTTGTCATTTTAGATGTATAAAAACAAGCTTAAATTTAAAAGTAACTGCAATAATATAACATTTCCTAAATTAAGGGATTAATCGTTTGTTTTCAGAAATGGTTTTATAATAGTGTTCAAAACAAGGACACCTTCCAGTGAACAGGGTGAATAGATAACCATGGGGTTGTACCGGTCTAGTCAGTGACAGGGATTAATCGTTTGTTTTCAGAAATGGTTTTATAATAGTGTTCAAAACATGGACAACTTCCAGTGAACAGCATGAATAAATAGCCATGGGGTTGTACCGGTCTAGTCACTGACTGTATTCTTCCCTTATTGACTTAGCTTTTGGAATTGAGAGTTTAATTCATGTGTACCTGCAATGTTTTATTCTTTCAGCTGCAGGTGAAAAAGAAGCTCAGCAAACATGTGCAGTACATCTGGAACCAACGACTGCTGATACTCTCTGCAAGCCTCGACACGGAACAGAAGAGGGCTGGGATATGAGGCCAGTGGTGAAACACGAACCAACAGATGAGCCTGAAATCCATGAAACAACAGACAGCAACGTTTGCTTTGTGGCAGGAGAGCAAGATGACCTGATGTGGCCTCATCCTGTTTGCAGCATGTTTGACAAAACCTGTGTTGCAATTCAGCAGCACATACAGACTTTCCCTTCTCACACAGAACAGTTCCCTACTCATAGAGACAGAGTATGCTCATATAACTCTTCATCAACTACAGCAGAGGAAATTGCAGATGATTCCTTAATTGTGCCAGCGATAGTAGATACTCGACCTTTGTGCATGGGAAAAACCACCTCAGACTCTGGTCACAACGAACAGTTTAGACATGTTTCATGCCCCGCACTCAGTCAGACTCAGTGCTTGCAGCCTGCTTTACAACAGGCTGGGCTGTCACTCGCCCCCTCTCATGCGCAGAGGTCCACAGCAGACACTGAAGATCACATCTTTGATAGAAACAACCTGAGAACCAAAAGGCTAATGAGACCAAGTCAGAAACTGTTCATCTGCCCTGTATGCAACAAGGTTTTCCCCTACTTGTCTAAGCTGGAGGAGCACAAGTGCACCCTCCACCAATGGAAACCTTTTAGGTGCCTCGAATGCGGGAAGTCTTTCACTCAGAAGACCCGGCTGAAGACACACCAAAGTGTGCACACAGGAGCCAGACCGTTTAGCTGTAAGGTCTGTGGGAAGGTGTTCTCAAGGCAGGACAACTGCTTGAGACACGAGAGGTTCCACAACAAGATGAAGCTGTACAGCTGTAGCAGTGTGGCAAAAGCTTCACTGTGCCAGGAAACCTGAGAATACATCAAGATATTCACCTGCAAGGAAGATGGCACCTGTGTTCTCAGTGGCAATTTATGAGAGAAAATTTGCCCAAATATTTATCTTGGTATTCTTTAGGTGTGTTCAGGTGTGTTCAGTCAGTCAGAAGCTGGAAGATACCAATTCACATTTACACTTTCATCTAAGATGGTATTTTCCAGCTTCTGACTAGCTGAACACACCTGAGCCAGGTAATCAGCAGCAGGTCAGGCAGGGATAGTTGCAAAAAAAGAAGGACAGCGACCCTTGAGGACTGGAATTGGCCACCCCCAGGTCCTCGAATGTGTCACTGAGGTCTTTGTGACCTTCTTTTAGGTTCGTTTACAGCTGTGCAAATGTTTTTTCATTATTAGGTGAGTTGGGACTTTGCCTTGATGTCACTCAGTCAAATTTAAATACAGTTTATTTGTCATTGTCTTAAAATGTTTGCTTTTTCTGCTAGCAGTTAATTAATTCAGTCCCCACAGGCTACAAACGGAGGTTTTAGTGCCAAAGCAATCTCTGGATCAGATCAGCAGATACTTCAGGTATTTTATAACCAGTCAGTTGCTAAGAGGAACTGGCACCAGGAGAGAAAACGCTGGGTCAGTGCGGGGGTGGGGGTTCATGTACCTTTAGGTAGGTAGGACTTTATTGATCCCACAATGGGGAAATTCCTGTGTTCCAGCAGCAATAGAGAGCAGCAACAAAACACCATACGAACAAACACTGCACACATATCTTGAGAAACAAATTCCAAAGTACCTAAAACCAAACAGAATATAGTATTTGAGAGACAATCAAGAAGAAAAATGATCCTCCTGCAATTAATCCCTGAGAACAAATCAAAAATACCTAAGAACAAGAAAAAAATATAGTATTCAAGAGATCAAGGACAAGAATATTACTCCCATAATTAATCCCACAATGGGGGAAATACCTGTATTTCAGTCAAGAGGATCTCTGAAAAACTACTCAAAAATACCTAAATATATAAAGTATTAGAGAGAACTCAAGGACAAGATTTTACACATGTCCATATTTACAATGCATTTTACCCCCAGGATTTGAGTATTACACCTTAGTTGACTATTACATAGTCCCTCGTACCTTTGCAATAATTAAATTCTTTGGGTTTTTTTTCTCCACATAGTTCAGGTCATGGCCCTGCTTCTTTTTTCTGAAATGTATTTCATGACAAATCATGTATTATACATTTATTTATTTATTTGCTGTTTATTTACTTTTGTCCTACTTGTCTGTTTTCATCATGAACTTTCAGTATGATGAGCTAATGGAGCGAGGGCTGATCCCATCCTCAAAGCTTCACCTTGTGTTTCTTGAAGTATAGCTCATAGTGGATTTTAACTTTTACTTTGGGTCATGACTGCATGACATTTGCATTGACAATGTGATGTTCAGTGAAAGCCATTCTTCCCTCTGCCCCTGCAGTGTTTCCTGGTCTGCTGGCTGCCACACAACCCCAACGCAGAACATGTGCACCCCCATGCATAACATTTGGCAGAGGGGGGTTATTAAGTACTTAATACTTAAGCCACAATTACTGTTCAGCCTTTTCTGCTATTTGGTAAATATTTTCAATAAAAAGTAACATTTGAAGAAAAGCAACGTTTACAAAAACGTGCTCAAAGTTTTGCATGCAGCTGAAATCAGTCACGTTTCTTCTATTGATGTACTTTATTAATGTTTTCCTTATTTTATAGGTTACTGCAGCTTTTGGTCGTTTTGAGTATGCGTGTTTTTAAAATCTTTGTGGTTAAAAAAAAAAGCTTGTGCGGGACTACTTCGTTTTTACGGTATTTGGGTCACCACTTCCGTCAAACAACAAGCTGGCACAAACTAAAGCCAACAACGAGCTAACAAATAGCGGCAGTTTGTCCTCGGTGAGCGGCTCCAGCGATGACCCGGTTTGTGTGACTGGGGCTGCCGGACCTGCAACCTCGCGTCGGTCGGTGGGGGCCGCTTTGCTCGCTCCCAGTCCAGGCTTCCTCCTCATATTGGAACCATGTTCAGCAGCGTCGCTCTGCGGGCTCAGATTGCCTCCGTAATCGATTCTCTATCCAAAGCAGCCGTGGCAGAAATCTCCAAAGTTGTGGAGGACAGTATGGTGGTGTTGCGGCTGGAAGTGTGTCAGCGAGAAAACGAGATAAAGAAGCTGAAGAGCAACATCGAGGTTCTTCACTCCGAGCTGAGAGCAGCGCAGGATAAAGTCGCCTTGAGACCAGACACGCACGGGAGAGATGGTGAGATGGACCGAACACACTTTACCTACGGTTTTACCTGGGATCAGGGGCGGATCTAGAATATTTTGGACGGGGTGGCCAGTGCCCCTAATTTTACTGAGATACGCTTATATCACACGTACAGTGCTGTGCAGTTTTTAGGCAATTAAAGTAAATAGGATGCTTCTAAAGTAATTTAATTAATAGTTTATCATTTAACTGTATATAAATTGAAGCAAACAGAAAATGTCAGTAGCCCGACTGGACTGTCTGTGTTTCTGTGACCACCCTTTGCCACTTTTCCGAGCTACACTAGTGCAGGGTTTTTCAAGGTACTCTACAGGTAGAGGTGGAAGAAGTACTCAGAAATAAGTCAAAGTAACAATGCCACAGTATTAAAAATACTTTTACAAGTAAACATCCTGCATTCAAAATGTGGCTTAAATAAAGTACGAAAGCTTCAGCCACAAAATATACTTGAAGTACCCTTAGTAAAAGTAGTCATTATACGTTGTGGACCAGGACTTGCTCACCGAAGTATGAAACTTTCATGGTGCAAATATCACGGTTTCATGGTATATGGTATTGCACTATTATTGTAACTAAAGTATGTTAGTTTGCATGTTAGCACCAGTAGTAGAGGAAGTATTCTCATCCTTTTTCTTAAGTAAAACTACTAATATCACACAGTGAAAGTAGCCTACTCTGTTACAAAAAGTCCTGCATTAATAGTGTTTAGTAAATGCATTTACACAAAAATGTACTTTAAGTATTAAAAGTACTAGTAGGCTACTCAATGCAAAAATATGTTGTACTATACAGTATATAATAATGTTACATTATCAGCCTGTCACTCATGCACTGCTGTAAAATCAGGATTTGACTGTTGTAGCCGGTTGTGGTGGAGCTCCGCTGAACTAGTTTGCAACTATTGATTATTTTTATTACGGATTAACCTGCTGATTATTGTCTCCATCAATCGACTGACTGGTCTGTAAAACCTCTCGACAGCGGTGAGATGTGCCGTCACAGTGCTGTAAATGATTGTCAGAATAGTCGTTAATTTATTGTAGGTGTGTGTGAGAGCGCAGCCAGACCTGTCTATGCCTTCACTCTTTCACGCACACACACAAACTCATTTATGTGAGCTGGTCTGAGGTCAGATCAGGATCAGTGCAACTTCCTTTGTAAGTCAGAGATTAGCGAACCAACGGACAATGATATTGACTTCCCTGTGAATCATTCTGTCTGACTTTAATCCCTCTTTATTGCATTCCCAAATGTTTGTGTGACCAGGGCATATCTAAGAATTGGAAGCCCTCTGCATGGGAGGTGGCTTTGGCCCCTCTTCCCTCTCATGTAGGTACGTCTAATGATAAACAACTTAAGATAAACAACTTTAAACATGTTCATTTTCTTTGTTGGCCATATTGGAAAGTCTGGGTTTTTCAGACTAGTGCTAGTATTACGTGGCTGTTATAATAGCACCAGTAGTAACCTGTTTTATAGTCTGAAAACTGGAGAAATTAAAGTGTGAACTTCTTATGGTGTACAACTGAGGATCAGAAGGCTTGTTATTAGCGTGTTTGGGTCATGTGCCCCACATTTTTCTTCTTCTACTGCCCACATGTCAGAATGAAGTTACTGCCCAATTTTATTACACATTAATAATGACGGGGTGACTGTGGTTCAGTGGGTAGAGCAGTCGTCTCTTAACCGGAGGATCGGTGGTTCGAATCACGGTGCCTGCAGTCCACATGTTGAAGTGTCCTTGGTCAAGACACTGAACCCCCAAATTGCCCCTGATAGTTAGAGCCATCGGTTGAGTTGGTTCTCTACCGGAAACAAATTCCTTGTGTGTAACATACTTGGCCAATAAAGGTGATTATCATCATTATCATTAAAATATTAGAAGCTAATATCCTGTTTCACAACTTTTACATTGTCTTCCCTCAGATAGTCAGAGTGGCACTGGTGATGAGAGGACCTTGCTTGAAAATGTGCACGCTGACAAGCACCATAACAGCCAATCCATACCTGAGGTCCAGGTTAAACGTGAACCTATGAAAGAGGGACATGAGGAGACCAGCGGGCACCCAGACCAGCTGGGAGAAGATCCGGCCCTGTACGAAGGGAAGGACGGGCCATCCATGACACAAAACGAGGCGGGACGCAACAACTCAGATTATTTCAATTTAGGGCGCAACTCCTTGTTGTGTCTTCCTGAATCGGCTCTGGACGCTGGACTGGCTGTGCCCTGCAGCAGCTCCAGTGGGTTTCCGCACAGCCCCTTCACCCACGGGCTGCTGGGTTATGGTCAGCATCGTAACTCGTACAACACGATACGGAGGAGGACGGTGAAGAGGTTATTGTCTAAGAAAGGCTTTATATGTCCATACTGCGGCAAATGTTTTGAGCGTTCTGGGCACCTCGAGAGACATAAAAGGATTCACACTGGTGAGAAACCGTATCGTTGTGACATATGTGGGAGATGCTTCAATCAGAAATGCAGCTTAAAGGAGCACATGAAGATTCACAGAAGATGTAAGTAAAACGCTTTGTCTAAAACTCGTCACTAAACCTTGAGGTGCAGTTTATTGACGGTGCCTCTGCTGCACCATTTGCGTAACAAGTTGAGGCACCGTCACTGCTGGGTTTTTTTAAGCAGCAGCGAACGGCTTTACCTTTATTGAAGATTTTTCTATTCATGGTGTAGAATACAAAATTCTTCTACACATTCAGATGGTTTGGTGCCGTTCTTATTCACTCAGCGTGGCTCCATAGTTTCCTGTTTTGTGTTAATGAAGATAACTTTAATAGCTTTATTTTCTGAGAGCAGTAGAGAGTCTGCATTTTACAGATGTGAGGAATGTTTGTGTGAAGATTTTTTTTTTTTTTTTTTTTATAATTTGGAAAGCGGCCTTTCCATGACCTACATCTACAGCCACACCATATGTTTAGAATTTTAACAGTTAATGGTTTAAAGCTTTTTTTCTGCTTTAGCAGGCATGGAGTCCAGACTAGCTCAGATCCAAGTGAGCGAACAGAAGCAGGTTCCCGAGGTGAATTCATGCACTGACGCTCATCGCCCTGAGGAAAAGAGCCAACCCAAAGCTGAAGATGACCTACCTAAGAATCAGGACGTTCTCCCAACACTCGTGCAGGTGAAATCTGAGCCTGCAGAGGAGAATTTAAT